GCAAGACAACCCCCAGGATTTCCAACATTAAGCTCAACTGCCCACTCAAATGCCCACCCTGAAGCTTACATCCGGCAGAGAGCAGAGGGCTGATCACTTACCCCATTTATTAATGGTAGTAAGGACATGCTTTGACTTCAACAGTAACCATGGTCTGGGGAAAATACAGAGGGTCTTCTAGTGTAAGTAGACCCATAGGTCCTAAAGCTAGGCAGAGAAAATTGTGTCTGCATGGATCCCAAAACTGCAAACCATGAAAATAAACCACTCATTCCATATCACAGGTAATTTTTCTTCAACTCATCTTTTTAAATGTTCCTATTTGTATTTATCTTTCATTTATTGGGTTTTTTTTTCAAAATTAGGAGTTTTACTCCCACTTTATTTTTTGTCTTCTTTTAGTTTCTTACTATCTCTTTAATCTTTTTCCCTTTCAATTTTTTTCTCTTCTTTGTTTCTTTTCTCTCCTATTCTTGTTTATCTTTTTTGCTTTTTCTTATTCATTATTTCCAGTGACTGTTATCTATCACTATTGATTTTCTTTCACTCAGCCTGGCACAATAAAGAGACACAAAAGGTGTACATTAAATTAGGAGGCCCCATTTCCCTTGAGGGGTGTGGTGGTGTCTGCCAGTCCTGTGCTGCTAGATGATAGAAAGCAGAAGAACATAAGATTGATTGGACTGCATAAAAGCACAAATGATGTAAGCATCTGTCCAAAGAAGCAATGGCAGAAAATTTCCCAAGCATGGGGAAAAAATTTGAAACAGATAAGTGACGCACATAGCACTCCAATTGCCTATGATCAAAAAAAAAATCTACTCCCAGGCAAATGATAGTCAGGATTCCAGAACTTTAACACAAGAACAGAATATTAAAAGCTGTTAAAAGAAATAAATCACTTACAAAAGGAAGCTCGTTGGAATTACAGCAGACATCTCAAAACAAAATTTAAGGAGAGCTTGAAGTGAAATATATAAAGCCCTAAAAGAAAACAACTTCCAGCCCAGATTGGTGTACACCACATAAATAGCTTTCAAAATTTATGGAGAAATAAGATACTTCCATTACAAATAAGATGTGAAAAAAATCATGAACACCAAAAACCATCACTACAAAATGTTCTGAAGGACATTATAGAAAGAGTTAAGATGAACTACAACTCCATGAACCCCAGTGGAATGAAGACACCAGGAGGCCAGGCAAGTAATTAAACAGAGGGGTGAGAAAGGGAACCAAAAATGGGAAAACTGTATAACAAAGATAAGCAAATATATCTCAGCTATAACCATGAATGTAAATGGTCTTAATTCCCTAATCAAAAGAAACAGACTGACAGAATGAATCAAGAAATATGATCCAACAATATGCTGCATACAAAAAAAATATTTAATTCAAAAATATTCATAGACTGAAAGCCAAAGGACAGAAAACAACATTCCATGTGACAGGATCCCAGAAAAAAAGGAGCAGCAAGCTGTTCTATCTGCAGACAATGTGAACATAAAGCCAAGACTGATCAACAGACACAGAAGGTCACTACGTACTTGTAAAGGAAACAATCCAAGAGGAAGAGATAAATATGTGTGCACCAACTATATAAAACAAATATTAAAGAACATGAAAAATTATATAAGCACTAATGCAGTTGTAACGGGGGAACTCAATAAACCACTATATATCACAAATAGATCTACTAGACAAAAAAATCAACAATGAAATATTAGCACTGAACCAAACTTTTGAACAAATGGACCTAGTAGTTGTCTACAGAGTGTTCCACCCCACAACATCAGAATACGCATTCTTCTCAGCCGCTTACATGTTGTTCTCCAAAATAGACCACATGCTAGCTCACAGAACATGCTTAAGTAAATGCAAAGGAACTGAAGTTATCCCATGTATATTACCACACCATAGGGCAATCAAACTGGAGATCAATAGCAAGAGACCACAAGGACTTCACAAACACATGGAAATTGAAGAACATTCTCCTGAACAATCAATGGGTCATGGAAGAAATTCAAGAAGAAATTAGGCAGTTTCTACAAATAAATGATAATGTGAATACAACAGAGCAGAACTTATGGGATGCAATGCAAGACAGCCTTGACGATCAATGGAATGGAGTAAAAGATGCAGAAACAACTCCAAACACACTCAGTCCCCTCGTCTCTGACAAAAGGTCAAACACCTTCACTGGAAGAAAGACAGTCTCTTTAATAAATGGTGCTAGAGGCACAGGCGGGCAACCCATGAGACCAGTGAGACCAGGTGGGCACAGGGGTCCAGGCCCTGCATGTCCGAGGCCCCTTGGGACAGAAGCCGCAGAGTGCAGAAAGGCCATCATTCTGAGCTCAGGAAGATGTGCCAAGGTGAGCAGCAGAGAGAGGGCCCCTTTAAGGCTTGCTGAGAACTGAAGCCCACCGGGAAAGCGGAGACAGTTGCTGTACTAAAGACGCGGTGGACCACGGCAGTTGGTGAGGAGTTGGGATCAGCACCTCCTGCCAGAACCTGGACTTGCTGCATCAACACTGGTTGCACAGGAAATAGTTCTGAGAATCAACGAATGGGATCATATCAGATTAAAAGGCTTCTGCACAGCTAAGGAAACAACCAGCAGACTGAAAGGGCAACCTACAGAATAGGGAAAAAATTTGCGAGTGATTCCTCAAACAGAAGATTCCCGGCCGGCAGGGATTTAGCTCAGTGGCGCCACCGCCTGCCTCGCAAGCACAAGGTCCTGAGTTCAAGCCCCAGTACCACAAAGAAAAGAAGATTCCTATCTGAAATATATTTAAAAACTCACAAAATTAGGCCCAATAAAATAAAAAACTCAATCAAAATATGGGCCACTGAAATGAACAGACACTTCTCAGAAGAAGCCTAAGTGGCTAATAAACACCTGAAGCAATGCTTGACATCATTGGCCGTTAGAGAAATGCAAATTAAAACAAGGCTGAGATTCTCTCTCCCAAGAAAGAATGGCCATCTCCAAATCGAGGAACCAAATGACAAATGCTGGAGCAGCTGCAGGGAAATAGGAACACTTCTACACTGTTTGTGAGAATGTAGTCTGGCAGAGCCACTATGGAAATAAATATGGATTTATCTTTAAATATTAAAACTAGGCCAGGCATGGTGGCACACTCCTGTAGTCCCAGCACTTGGGAGGCTGAGGCAGGAGGATCACTGTTAGTTCTAGACCAGCCTGGGCTACATAGTTCCAGGTCAGTCTCAACTACATAGTGAGACCCTGTCTCAAAATACAAAATAAAACCAAAAAAAAAAAATTAAAATTAAAACTAGAAATTCCATTTGACCTGGCTGTTCCCTCTTTAGGTATCTTTCCAAAAGAGTTAAAGGTGTCATATTACAGAGATACATATATACCAATGTTTATAGCAGCACAATTCATTATAACTAAATCTTGGAAGCAGCCTATATGTCCATTGACCAATGAATAGATAAAGAAAATGTGGTATTGGGTAAATACCAAATAGTTTTTCTGGTGTGAAAAACAAAAGTGTAAATAAGGTTCAAATTGTATAACTGACAATGTGAAATAGGAAGAAAAGGGCTAAAGGAGTAGGGGAAGTGGGAAGGGTAGGGGAAGGAAAGAAGGGAAAAGAAAAAATATGAGAAAAGGAAAAAATAGAACAAAGTCTTTTAAAATAGGGAAGGGTGAAGGGGGTGAAGGGAGGGCAGGGGTATGGAGAAAAAATAAGAACAAAGATACATCAGGTAAAGTTCCTAATGATGAATGTTACTGTACTGTATACCTAAAAATTACCAATAAACTTAATGAAAACAAAAGAGAGGGAGCCAGGCATGGTGGTGCATGCCTGTAATCCCAGCACTCAGGAGGCTGAGGCAGGAGGATCACTGTGAGTTTGAGACCAGCCCGGGCTGGTGAGTTCCAGCTCAGTCTCAACTACATAGTGAGACCCTGTCTCAAAAAACAAACAAACAAACAAAAAAAAGAAAATGTGAAAAATGTGGCGTTTATACACAGTGGAGTACTACTCTGGTATGATTATAAGGATAGATTGGAGTCATTTGTAGAAAAAGAGGCACACCTTGAAGCCATAATGTTCAGTGAAATAAATCAGACAAATAGCTTAAATATTGCATGGTTTCTCTTATATGAGAATCCCAATATATAAATAAAGTGCAAAACAAGAGACAGGCAATAGGGATAAAGAGAGAGAGAAATGTAACTGTAATCAAGCCTAGCCAATGTATCTAAAGTGTACTTTGACTTTGTATAATTTTCTTATGTGTTCTATATGGTTTTTTTGCCCTGTTAGGCCATTACCCTGTTTATGATGATTAACTTGATAGGAACTTATAAATAAATTAATTTAAGGTGTTTAAGGGAAAGGGAAAAAAACTGAGATGTGTTATATATGTGTAGCACTTCCCCACGATGAATGTAATCATGTACTGCACACTTGTACCAATTCAAATAAAATTTTTGAAATATCAAAAAAAAAAGGAAATGTAGATACTATTAGAACATGTAGGATATGTTTAAATTTGGAAACTAAATATATTGGAATGTTCCAGGTAATTAAGAAATACTGATTTCACTCAGATATCTGTGCACAAAAGCAGAAAAGCTTCTTATAATCTTAGTATATGTACTGAAGAAGCAAACACAAAAGAAGCCTCTTACAAGATAGGCAACAGGTCCACGTCTATTAATCCATCAAGTGAAAAGCAGTCACTGAGCTGTTTGCAGCCAGGCTTTGAAAGAGGCAGCAGGAGAAGTTCACAGAAAACAGGAAAACCTACACCAAAAGAACCTTCAAGAAAAATTGCAAGAACTGGAAAAGAAACCTGGTGGGAAAAAAATCGAGCTGGATATAAGCTAGAAATCCACCTTTTGAGAAGTAACACATCTTTAGGCAACAACCGAAGTCTAAGATAGCCACTGTGAGAGAACCGTAAGTCCACAGTAGTTTATTAAACTCTTCCTTCACCTCAGATGCTGTGCAGCCATTATTGTGAATCCTTATAGCTTCGCAAAGCAGGAAGTCTTGCTCCATTGTCACATGGGGAAAGGAAGGCTTTAGCAGGCCATATACTCAGTCCAATGTCAAATACCTAGGTAACTGTAGAGTAGAACACTGAACTCAGTTTTCGTAACTCCAAAGCCACACACATTCCACTCTATCGCACTGTTTCTAAAGAATTTAAAGGCATAAGGTCTCACCACCAGTGAGTGGCACAACGGACCTAGAAATCTGTTCTCCTGGCAAAATTAACTTTCTGCATTTTTTGAAGAGTAGATTTTTTCCAAAACACTTTTAGAATTTGTATCAAAATATTTATAAGAGACTACAGTTATGTTCTCCCTCTGTTCCCATTTCGTTCCTTATGAATGAAAAGCTTTACTGTATAGGAAATCAGGGGGAGCTAATAAAAATGTGAGATTAAAATTATTTATATGATCAAGTCACAAGTCATCCAAAATACATCAGCTCCACGCCCCTTTTGCCTCTGGCCAGCATGGGTTACATAAAGCCGTGTGATATCATGAAACAAGTGTGGTACAGTCAGCAGATTAGTGTCTGAACCCCCACTCCGCCACAAATAACGGCATGATCCTTAGAAAATCATTTTGTTCCTTTGAACTTTGGTTCTTCTCACCTGACAATGAGAGAGATCCCACCTAGACTACCTGTGAAGATCCCTGAGAAAGTGTATCCTTGGGTGACATAAAGTATGCCACAAAATTGATCACTGCTAACTGGTTAATAAAAAAGACTGCCCAGGGAACCAATAACCAACATTCTGCAGCTTAAGTCAGTGTGCAGAAGACTGCTGGATGGTTCCTCCTGACTTTGCCAAAGTCACATTTTGTCACTCCCTTAATGAATCAGTTTACCAGCTGATGACTCTGTCCCTGTACTCACTGTGAACATAGAACACTTCTGTGACCAGATAGAGTCCAGGGGGCTTCCCACACCAGGCATTCTCTAATTACCTGGGTATCCTACGCTTTAATTCTATTCTGGAAACACCCAGAGTTTGAGCGGAGCCCACATGTTAAGGGATGGATCCCACAAGACTGCTCTCACCCATGTCAGACGCCAGTCACAGGTCCCCAGGTCACCCCCACCTTCATCCGTCAGGCTGCGAATCTGAGATCCATGTGACCTCCTCCATGGATTTCATCATTTGATAGGGGTTCACAAAGCCTGGGGAAAAGGCTTACTCATCTCAGGCAGAGATGCTGCTTACTTCAGAGATTCCAGAGGGAGCCCTACACCAAAAAATGGGGAAGGGTAGCATATTAAAGCATTGTTTTAGAATAATTTTATGGGGGTAGAATCATCAAACGTCTGTCTTTACCTGGATGTTATTTTATACACAGTACTTTTTTTTAAGTACTTGCTTTCTTGATGTGTCTGAAGTTCTGTGTTAGGAGGGACCAATACACTTCCTATGATGACTCTCTTACTGTATTTCAAAGAGAAGAATCTACCACACAAAATTAGCTAACTTTCCATGCAGGCTTTTAGTTTTGAATTCTTTTCAGTAGTCTGCATAAACTACTCACAATAAGCCCTTTAAAACCAGAAACCACAACCTGCTCATCTTTTTCTACAGTCCCCACTAATAGAATACTTGATACATAGTTGAATTAAATAGAATTGAGCAACATTAAAGCAGCCTTTATCTTACATGGGTTTCAAACTTATGGACCCTGGAAAAAGAGAATGAAAAAGAGTAGAAAGAGGAGGGGAAAATCACAATTAGATAAGATAGGCAGTTCTTCAACTCATTCCAATATGAAAATAAATAAATAAATCCATATATCCATTTTTACTGAGAGAAACAAAAAAACAAATCCAGACAGAGACAGAGATTTGTGAATGATTGTGAAATTACTTTTACCCATTCCTCTCAAAATATGTCACTAAGTTGTGTGACCTTAGCTTTGAAATATTCATATTTTTATAGATGATGACCCCAGAGTAAAGCAAAATATGTCATCTATTGCTCAATCAAAGCAAAAAGTAACTCTCGGGAGGATGAGGCAGGAGGATCGCTGTGAGTTCGAGACCAGCCTGGGCTACATAGTGAGTTCCAGGTCAGCCTCAACTACATAGTGAGACCCTGTCTCAAAAAAACAAAACAAAAAAAAAAAAGTAACCTTCTGTTACAACATCAGAGGTAAAATTGGCTCTAATGAACATCATAAAGAATGTTTTTCCTACTAGCCAGGTGTGGTGGTGCATGCCTATAATCCCACCACTCGGGAGGCTGAAGCAGGAGGATCGCTGTGAGTTGGAGACCAGCCTGGGCTACATAGTGAGTTCTAGGTCAGCCTCAACTACATAGTGAGACCCTGTCTCAAAAAAACAAAACAAAAAAAAAAAAAAGAATGTTTTTCTTTGGGCCGGGGATCTAGCTCAGTGGTTCGGTGGCCTGCCTCGCAAGCACAAGGACCCAAGTTCAATCCCTGGTACCTAAAAAAAAAAAAAAAAAGAATATTTTTCTTCAAAGTGACATTTTCCTAAGGGCTTTTAAAACATAGTTCTGATTCGGCCTCCCATCTTGCCTCCCATGTTGCCTTCGAGTCTATGCCAAGTGGCTGCTTTTTTGCTTACACATCCATCACGTTCCCATATCACTTTGGTGCAGTGCTTCAGAGAATTACCAGGTGTGATCAAGGACTATGGTGAATTGTTTTCATTTCTTTCATTAAAAAGACTAAAATTAGATTGAAAAAAAAATTTGCCACTAATTCCCCTTCAAAATATTACCTTTTGCTTCCAACATGCTTATCCCATTGTTGGCACTTTCTGAAGCAGTTTTGGAAATTCTACTTTCCGTGTCTTTAGTCATGCTGTTGTGGCTGCCTTGATGTCATCAGTTAATTCAAAACATTTTCCTTTCATGGTCATCTTGACTTTGTGAAAGAGCCAGAAGTCACATCATGCAAGATCTGGTTAGTGAGGTAGGTGAGGACACACCATTATGTTTTTATAAGCCTGTCTTTCCACTGGATGACACTCAGCAGCAGCATTTATAATATTTTTATCACACTTCATAAACACACTCGGGAAAGAGGACTTCCAGAACTGCTTCAGAAAGTGAAAAGAACAATGGAATAAGCATGTTTGGAACAAGAGGCTATAATAGGAGGATTAATGAAATGTCTTTTACTGTGATACATTTTATTTAAATATTCACCATATAGTTTGATCACCCTGTGATGCCAAAATATAGAACCTGTTCATGTTATATAAAAGATGTATTTGGGTATCTTTCATTCTTCAAAAGCCGTGCATTTAATGCTGCCTAATGAATTTGATTTGGATTGAAAGACTGCTACCAGCCGGACCTACACTGAAAACTATGATTTTATTCTTAATATCACCCAGACTCTCAGAAACTAACTTTCTCAAATATGTAAGTTAAGAGAGCTATCATCGATCGGTAGTTTTTGAACTTTCTTGGGATATCAATTCATATGAGAATATAATGAAGGTAAGAACTTCTTCCCAGAAGAAGGGATTTGTTTTCAAATATTACTTACCATTTCAGCAGTTCTCAGACCCTTTGAATTTTACACACGGTGCTTTAAAGATGAAAGGACTGATGGTGATGAGAACCTAGACATCCCCAAAACTTTATTTGCTCATTGCCTTCTATGGGTTTCCTTTATCAGGTAAGGGAGTTAAGAGAGATAGACAAGGATTAGAAAGGACAGCCATAGTGATCTCTCATGTTGCCCAAAAGAATGAACTAACAAACATTTTCCTGGTCCTGAGTGCCTGAGATGAGATCACCTTCGTGGAGTCATCAGCTTGCTGGCACGCACACATTGTGAGGACAGAGATGCCAGAGTCATCTGGAATGATTCTACAAAAGGCAGAGTTCCCTCCGACTCTGTGACGGGACAAGTAGAAACTCCTAAGGGAATGAAAGAATGCTAATGTGTCCAAAGCTCAGGACAGAAACTGGAAATTTCCGTAAAGCTTTGGTTTGCCTCCGCTGTGCCTCCAGCTTTCTTTGGGGCGGCTGGTCCTCGCTCTCCTACTCTGGCTCCACCAGCTCCTCACACCGATCCATAGACTTCCTGGTCTCCATCTGTGTCTGCGTTGCCTTCTGCTTCGACAGATAAGGCGAAAAGCTCATGGTGACACGTTCCTCCCTGAAAAGGAGGCACGGTTCTGATCAAGCAGGAAACTCTAGCAATTTCTAGCTAATGTTATTCAGATAACAGGAAGAATGATACAGCATCAGTTTATATTTACTCTAAATTTGATAGAAAAGAATATTACAAAAACAAGGAACAACTGAGGAATACATCGATGAACCAAAAAAGTTTATATACAACGTTTTGCTATAATTTTTAACAAATCTCTTAAAAGCTACCATATCTACCAGAAAAAAATATATACAGTGATATCAATGACCTTAATAATAAGCTCTAACATTAGATACAGAGAATTTCCCTCCTAACAGAGAATATTCATTCTTTATAAATATACTACATAACAATTTGGGGGGTACCAGGGATCGACCTCGGGACCTTGCGCTTGCGAGGCAGGCAGCAGCCGAACTGAGCGAAATCCCCAGCCCACTATATAACATTTTAAAAGTTAAATCTTATACTGAGCCATAAGAAAAGACTTACTACATTCCAGCATATCAGTGCTCTATATATTACATTACTCTAACATGCAATAAAATTTGTAATTAATAACAAGCAAAGAGCTTTTTAAAATATCTCTTCAATTTGGGCATATATCTTACTAAATTATCTCTGTGTTAAAAAGGAAATCATGGATAACAGATTGAAAATACCAAACCTATTCTTCAAACTTTGTTGGGCATACCTAACATTTATCAGGACTAAACACATTTATCAAGAAATAAGAAAGATTGAAAATAAATCAATGAATCAGGTAACTCAAGAAATCTAGGGTGATGACACACACCTATAATTGCAGCACTTGGGAGGCTGAGGCAGTAGGATCACCATAAGTTTGAGGCCAGATTGGGCTACAATAGTGAGTTCGAGGCCACCTTGAAATACATAGTGAGATCCTGTCTCAAAAAAAAAAAGAAAAAGAAAAAAATCTGAGGAAAGGCCACAGAGTAAACTTGAAGAAATAAAGTTATAAAAAATAAATAAATAAACACCATAAGAAAAACTAGCAAAATAGAGAACAAAATTCTAAATAATTAGAAAACTATGAAAACTAAAAACTGGTTCTTTGAACAGAAGGTTTGAATCATTTTGGCCAACATCAAGCAAAACCCAAGAAAAAATAAAATGCAAAATGAAAAGGTAGAGTCTAAATTTAGAATTGTGGAGATTTAAAATAATAAAAAGTTTTATAAACAAATATATATGAATGATTCTTAAAACCTTAATGAAAAGGCTAAGTTGCTAAAAAACTTTAAAGTACCAAAACTGATGCAAGAAACATTAAACCTGAATAAACTGATAAACATTAAAAGAATCTGAAATGTTAAAGATGTTCTTCCTGGCCATAACAAAAAGAAAAAACAAGTCCAAATAGTTTTGTAAGTTATATAAAATTCAAGGGATCATTAAATTATATATTAATACTAATAACTTTAGAAAACAAAAAATTTATCCAATCAGACCTTTTTTTCCTAATACTATATTAAAAACTACACAAGAAAAGGAAAATATATGATACTTAATGAGCATAGCTAAAGCCATCAGAAGTAACTAAAATAATATAGAAAGAAAAAAGTGCCCTGGAAACTTTAAAGTTCCCACAAAAGTTTTCAGTGATTATGTTTTAATCATTAAGGAAAATATCAGCAAATTAAAGAACTTATCAATAGCCATTCATAGCTATAGGAAAATCACGCAACATGATTATTTGTTAGTAATCTAGATGAGCCTGTGTAAGAAATAACTCCCGATAGCATGTGAAATTCTAGGTGAGTATAAAAATAGCACAGCAATTTGTTCCCTAGAAGGATAACATCCATCATATGGTTAGCATGTTGTCTTTATTACTCATCCCACTTATCCCAACATTATTCACTGTTGAATGAGTCAGACGTGAGGAGGTGAAAGCCACAAAGTCAGCTGAGAGCACAGGCCAGTTCCCAGCACATTTGAAGGCCAGAGCGAGGTCGGCGGGTCTCAGGAATAGTGAAGCACTAAGCACCTCACCTTCACCCAAATGTCTGCGGGGACCAAGAAGCACTTAAATGCCAGGCCTGACTTCTTATTTTTCCTTCCAGTCTGTCTGAGTAATTTTAGTTTACGAGAAAGACAGAAAGCTCTTTTATAAGAAGTCATTCTGCAACAAAGAAAGTATTATAGTGCCTTCCCCGTATCCAGGAAAAAAAAAAGTGGAGTGTGTTTAGACTAAAATCGGACCACATCCTGCTCGCGTGGAATAGACAGAGTGACAACTATTTGGGGCACAGAACAGCAGCTCAGGGAAAGAGTCTGCGCCTTGGTCCTTTCTTAGAGTTTAAAACAGTTAATGAGGTTGAAGAACTAGTCCACCCTGCCAGGCAGACAAAAGTAGGTTTCTCAACCTCCTCCACACACAATTATATGAGCATGTGTGGGGTGCGCCCAGGGAGACACACAGATGCATGCGCGCGTGTGCGTGCGCGCACACACACACACACACACACACGTACACACACACACGTACACACACTCCTCCCAGGGCGGGCAGGCCCCAGGCCATACCGGGGAGGCACTGAAGTTCGGGCAGCCGAAGCACACCTCGGGATTTCCCAGGGTACCCTGCGGAAGCACCGTTCTCAGGAGAAATTCACTCTAGCCCTCAGCCAGGAAGAAAATACTTTTTTCCCTAAAATTTATGGGGAGTTTATGTTCCCTTGAAGAGAGAAGATAGGGCAAGAATTAGAAGGTCTTAATAAAAGAATCAATACAATCTCCAAACCACGTAATGTTGATTACATTCTAATTTCCTCAAATTTTCCTGATAATGATGCATAGATATATTATCAAGGTAAATGTTTAAAGAGAATCTCTTTACAGTGGTTATCATTTAGTTCACAGTCAAATAATTTAGCTGAAAAATACAGAACACTTTTTTTTCTCATTGAGTTTATTGGTACATTTTAGGGATACAGCACAGTTACATTCATCATTGGGCTCTTGTACCTTTACATGACAGGTCTTGGTTCTCGTTTTTTCCCCTTTCCTCCGCCCTCCCTTCGCCCCCCCCGAACACTTTTCGTGTCTCCCCATAAGACCATCGAATTATAGCTTTACTTAAGTAAGTACAGCAGGACCAAATGATAATTATAATTAAGATTTCCTGCCTGGCATTTGTGTTATTTTTTTTTTCATTTATTTGAGTGAAAAGATCACCCTCGTGCTCGTTCACTTTTAAAAACAAAAGAAAAATGAAAGTTCCTTTCGCTAACTGGAGAACACCTATGCAGGGTGGACCTACTAATGAATGAGTAAGGGCACGTGGCCCAGTGTAGCTGTCACCATCTGTGAGGCAGCCACTCTGAGCGCCTTTCCAGCTACTCCGTTCACAAAGCATCACCATCACTGTATTATCCTTAGCAGTTTAAACAGAGAAAGCGGGAGTGGGTCAAATATTAAATGAGGCATTAGCCTGCTGCTATCTTTTCCTTCACTTGCTCTTGTTAGCTCAAATGCCAAGCCTACTCCTAAGATAAAAATCTAACTACAGCTGGAAAGGGAGCAGCAGCAAGTTAGTCTTGTAGTTGAGATGTGAGTTCTGATTAAAACTAGTAATTTTTTAAAAAAAAGACTCTCGAGTCTGGCTACAAATTTCCCAGTGTGCTTGCACTAGCCAATTTATGTCTAAATTAGAGGGAAATTTCTGTATTGACTAGAAAGCTGCGCGTCCAACAGAGAGAGTTGTTGGAAATTATTTCCCGCCTCATTTTTCATCTAAGCTCATCCTCCAAAACTGACCCATAATCGGTTCATGTGCTTCATAACGGCATCAAAGGATATCCTGTTTTCTTTTAAAGAGTAGTTTTAACATGTCAGCTTTTATGTACGTGTGAAAGACTCTCTGCTCTTTCTTATTGCCTGTTACAAAAATCACACAGAATTACAGAGTGTCTTTGAGGCCACCAATGCTCCAATCCAGTCAGTTGAGAAAACTGAGACAAAGAGAGCTTATCCCTGGTTCATTATTTGCCGCGCAATGTTTTTTTAGCTATATTTCCATCGTCATTCTAATCACAGTATTTTGTGACCATCCAGGGGTAACATAAGCACTAAAATAATAATATAACATAAAAATAGTGCAAGCTTCATTACCCCACCAAAAACTGTGCTCAAGTAGTCCCAATCCTTGTCAGTTTTTAAGAAACATTTGATGGCAAAATTCTAACCCAACCAAGTAATTGGACATTTTATTAGGTATCGTGACGGTATATAACTCACTTTAATTATTCGCTCCCCATTTTTTTGAAGATTGTATCAGACTTTTATTTTAGCCTCAATTCTAAGAATATAAGGATAATCATAGATTTAATTACTAAGTCAGTTTCAATCCCAGAATTAAAAAATAGTTCTCTCCAATCACCCATTCGTCTTTTTGTTGAGCTGATGATCTGTGTCAGTCATTGTTTTAAAAAAGGTCTTTATTTTGAGAAAAAAATAAAATTTTTAAACAAGTTTCACTTAGCAAAATACATCCTAAATGAAATCACATTGCAAATAAATCTTTAAGTCAAGGCCTCACCAGCTCCAACAGAGTTAGTATCGTATCTCAATTCGCACAACTAACTTTTAAAA